AACACAAGCTGAAATAGAAAAGATAGAGGGAAAAGGCAGAGAAAACCAGGGCGGGAGGAATCTTAGCACAGTGATCATCTTGGGAGTTCCTGCCATGTAGTTGGCTAATTGGGCTGGACAGTTAGCTTACCCAAGTATGGGGAGAGATGCCTGGAATACCCAGGAAATGGCCAGTGCACTGCAACAATGTACTCTTCTTGTCCAAGTGCAGTGAGGTTAAGCCTGTATGTCTTTGTCTTGCAGACAACTGGCCCTGAAAGCACTGAATGAGCGGTTGAAACGTGTGGAAGACCAATCAGTGTGGCCCAGCATGGAGGATGATGAAGAGGAGGGTGCCAAGGAGGACATACCACTGCTTCCCGAGAAGGGGGAGAGCGGCCGAGATGCCAGCATTGCAGGGAAAGGAGCCAGCCAGAAGTCTAGTCTCATCACCTTTGAGGATGCCCCTCCTCAGCTGTGACCTGCAAACATGCCCCCCTCCTCCCCACCCACTTTCTTCTCCCATCTCTGTGTGTCGGAGAGCTGCTACCAATCCCTTGTGTCTCTTCACAGCACTGTCTGCTCCCCAGGGCCCCTGTCTGCAGGGAGCAGGGGACTCCTCCAGTTGACTGAGAGGGTGGGGGGCTACCTCAGTTCAGTACCTAATAGCCACGCTTGGTCAATACTAGTTTTCTGGACTCTTGGTGGTAATCATGGCCACCACTGACCTCGTGGAAAGGATCTCTCTGCTGCTGGGGCTCTGGTTCATGGTCTCTTCAGTAGTAGTGTGAGGTTCCTTAGACACTAAAAGCTGAAGATGGATCTCTGTGAGGGCAGATCTCCCTACATCTCTTCAGCACAGGACATGGACTGATTCTTCCAGAAGGGCCTTGTGCTGGCTGCTTATGCCAGCGGCTGCTACTGTGGCTAACAATGTGTATGCTTCAGTGTCCAGGTCTCACCAGCAGCACACCATCTGGGTGTGCAGCATTGGACTGACCCTTTCCCCACGTGCTAAGTGGATCTGTTCGTGTATGCTAGACCACTAAATAAACCTTTCAGCACCTGAGAGAGCAAATTCAGCAAATGACACAGCACTTTCTCTCTTAGTTTGTGATGGTGGTTGTTCAAAAGACCCTGCAACCTCCATTTCCCCTTTTTAAAGTTAATTTTGTTACTTATCTAAAGAGCAGGAAGCTTTTTATCCCCTTTGTTATATTTAGCTTTCTCCCACCTACCCCATGGTCCTGGCAGGAACATGCCAGGATAAATTCCAGAATTAATAATTGCCAGGATTCCTGGAGAGAGAAGATTTCTTTAGGGATAAAGTTATTGCTTGTGCTGCTCACTCTTGCAGTGGCCTTGCTTGAGTTACTGACTCAAAAGCCTGGGGATCTGGAGCAGTCTGCTCCTGACTTTGAGACTAGCACATGGGGAAAAAAATCAACCCCAGACTTTCCTTGGGGATCTAGAGGGGGGAGTCTATTTTATTTGTGTTATTGCTACTTCAGGTTTTCTTCAGTTCTCTTTGCAGTGATTCACACGATAACACAGCCCCTGACCTGGAGGGGCAGCTCCTTTCACTGCTGCTTGGATGAATTGTCTCTGATTCTTTATTTTAGAAGCTGGAATTTGTTTTATTGTGAGCTCTTGACAATTCTTCTGACACCTGTTTTGTTTCGGGTTTTTTTTTAATATGCTTTGCTTAGGCTCTTGGCATCCTCCCCTCCTTTTTCCCTTCCTCTGTATTGATGGGATTTTCTTTTGGAGGGAGGGGCAAGGCGGGGAAAGGTGTATTATCTGGAAATTCTTTTCTTGAGAACCAGTCCCCCAAAAGGCTGCGCCACTCCCAGGCCCTAGACTTCCCTGGGAGACGGTTACCAGACTGGGAAGCACGTTTGATGGTGTCAGGATTATTTTTATAAAGGACCACACAAGAAGGTTTTGTCAACCAGGAAATACACAGAAATTTTAGTATTAATAAACAATTCTTTCAAAGAGTGCCTCTCACTTTAGTTTGTAAATCCATCCTGTAAGTCCTGTCAATGGAATCTGTTTCCATTGTTTCTCCATCGCTCTACACTGCTTCCTTCCTCACCATTTACTTCACAGCTACATCTGGATTTAGCCCCATGGGTGTCAGAGGCCTTTATGCCTCCTAGGGCACCAGTGATCCTTTTGTTTGTTCTGTGTAACTAGTTTCAGTATGGTTTCTAGCTAGAGAACAGAGGTGCAGGGCTGGCCTTTTTGAGATCAGACCTGGAAGCCAGGGCTGCTACTAACATGGCCCGGGGCTGTCAGTGGTAGGCTGTGAGAGCACAGGAGTCTGGTGCTAGGCTTTCATCTCTAGAGATAAGAGATCCTTGCTCTGGCCCAAGAGTAACTAGGTAGCTGTCACCCTGTTAAGTCACGCTAGACCCTCAGGGTTGGATAGATTGCATGGCATAAGAAATTGGTGATGCGAGGGGTGTGCAGACTTGGAATTATGGGGGGGGTCTGAGGGTAGTACAGTGGCAGTTAGGAGCAGGTGTGCTGTGGATTTCTGCTGTGCCTGTGGACTCCTGCTGTGCTCTGCAGCCAGGGATGCAGGACTTGCTTTCAGCATCAAACACAGGAACAAGGTCCTGTGTCAGAGTGGGCTTGAACCTCTCCAGCACTAGGTGTAGCCAACTGAGAACTGGTTTTGGACAAGTTAATAAAATGGGCTTTTATGCAGTTTGATGTGAATCCAACAGCTGCCTATCCTTGCTGGTACTGTACTTGTTTTAACACTTTCTGTATCCATGGGGTAAGGGAGAAGTCACTATGCCACTGATTTTTATTGTGGCATTAATAACAGGGATAAGCTGGGTGGGGTAGAGCAGGTAGTTGGGATTCCTGGTACCTGGGTGGCAGTTTGGGTTTACAGGATGAATGGGCCACCTGAGTGCTCAAATAATCACAACACAGTTTGTGTGAGGCTGCCATTTCAGGCTCTCCCTGAGCCAGCAGGTAGCACTGTCAGGTGAGCATGCATATGGAGGGTTCTTTGCAGCCATGAGGGTCTTCTGAGAGCAAATCTATCCACTCCTTTGAAATGAGTGTGGTGCATGATTTTGCAATGAGGGACACACTGTGGCAGATTCCTATGCACAGAACCTGATGGGAGCCAAAGGCACTCTTGAAAATGGGGCCACTGATTTAGGTACTGACTTTGGGCACCTGTTTTAAAGATACTGTTAAGCTTGCAGAGCCCCAGGAGAATTTCAGCAAATGCTGTTTATGGCTTGGGCATGTTAATACATTAGATGTGACCAAACGCATTGGAAAAGCCTAGTGTCCAGAGAGTTAAAAGAGTAACGATACATAGATATACCTCTTGCAGCTCCTACCTGAATCTGATAACCAAAATGCTTATGAACCAGTGTAATTTTTTTAGGTGAAAAACCTCCTGTAAAGCAGCAATGGTTGCAGTTCAGAATTGGCTTCATATTAACAGAGACTAGTGTATGAGAGAGGGCAGGGTTATAGTCATGGAGCTTTTGACTGCACTTGGCTGATGAATTCTCTTATATAACAGGAGTTCCCATTTGCAGATACTCCCATCCTATGATGCCTTGGATTGTAGCTACCAGATCAGGCAATATATGAATGGATATAGGATCAGATTATCCAAGCATTCTTCCAGTGGCAACCAACAAGCGCTGGTGAAATTAAGCCCTAGCCTGAGAATGGCATGAAGAAACCATGCCAAGACAAGTAAGCAAGATACTGCCTGCTGCTGCACACTTCTGTGCTAGAAGCCTTCATGATGCAGGCTCAAGAAGGCTAGTTGGTACCAAAGAGCTGCAGCTACAGCTGCCAGTTCTCCAGCTGCCTTCCCATCACATCATAATGTGCATGGCCTGGTTTTACAAGCTAGTTCGAAGGGAGGGTGCTACCCATCAAACTGCAGAAAGAAATCAGCATGGCATCTGGCCAGACTCTCACCAAAGGATGCTGTGAAGATTTTGAAGCTGGAAGGGGAGGGTTTGACAAGAACTTTTAGCAGGTGTAACAAACCGACAGATGGAAAAAGGCTGTGTGAAGTGGCAGACTAAAAGCAGCATTGAACTCTTCCTTGTCTGGACTCTGAGTAAGAAATTGCCTGCATAGTTCTTTTGAGGTACTACTAATGCAGTTCTAAATATGCTACTGATAACCTGACCCTAGTCTCGGTCACTATCAGTGGACGAGTGAGGTGAAGGGGGGTGCCCTTAGTATTTCCTTCTTGGTGTGGCTACCGTCTTTGTTCACTCCTGAAGATTCATGTAATTTAATAACTGCTTCAGCTTCTTCTGTGATATTCTCTGCTCCAAACCAGTCTGGGAGCTGTACTAGGAATTGAACTATGATGCCATAGGTCAGAAGTGAGGAGCCTCGGCAAAACTGGTTGGGGGCACAGCTGGACTAGCAAGTGCTGTGCAGAATGCAAGAAAATGGTATTAGCAGAAGGGAGATGCAGCAGGCTGCAAATAGCAAGTGGTGTTGGAGATCAGGACTCAAAGCATGACCTAGCAGACTGGGTTCTGGAGTAGGATAGAGAAGAGGTATAGGTCACTGGAGAAAATGGGCAGATTATGGACCAGGGACAAGAAAAAGGATGATGCCTCAAGTTTTCCATTGTGATAGAAGCTTTCCTGTAATCTCCATTCCCACTGTGGCCCCTACAGTCCATACAGGTGGAATTCACTTGTACTCATCTTGTGCACCCAGTACTGTCGACTGGAGGAATTGAGTTCCAGTGCAGTGCTCCCAAAATACAAATTGGCCTGCTTGTGCTGTACCAGTTAACATGGTAGGTTGGATAGGAGCATTGAGGCAAAGGGGCTATTCTTACCCTGTGTTACTAAATTATTCCTGTTGTTGTAGGACTGAAAAACACCAGCTAAGTGTGGAGACTTCTGTTCTCCCATGAGTGAGTATCTTCTTCAGTAGATGAAGAGGTTTCCTTCTATTAAAAAAAAACCCAAGAACCCCACCTACAAAAGCCAGTCCAGTTATAGCTGTTAGAAACTTTTTTATTGTATATATAAAAGGCTCTGGATGCAGACTGAATTTTCTTGCTCAGGTCTTTCCCGGTTCACCTGTCCTGCAGAGACTAGGATGTGCTTTTTACAAGTGGGCTGAAAGTGCTGCTATCTACAGCTGCAGTTCTTCTATCCTGAAACTTAAAGTAAGAAATTGAGGCTCCCCCACCTATGAAACCATTTCTGCATCCCTTGTACCCATAAGGCTACATGGGACTTTGCTGCTGTTAAGGTAGGTTCATTAACTCATTCAACTGGGAAGGAAAGCCATGAACATGACACACTGTGTGTTACAGGTGGGAATACGGCTTCATTCTGGAGCCAGGGATACTCCTATCCAGACAGCAGGAAAGACATTCCTCTCCCTACCCTTGAATGAAGGGATGTTTCTCAGGGATGTTCACAATCTGGGCATCCCTTAAGCCAGTAAAATTCTGTGACCATGTGAAATGGGACTACTGTATGGCAGGTAATGCTCCAGGATGTGATACTGAGTCTTCTAAGGTGGATATCTTATGGCTCATCAGTTGTTTCCTAGTTTGTTCAAGTAACAGGTGAAGGTTCCTCTCATTGGGATCAGACACTAGCTTAGTCCATATGCACTAAGCCTCTCCCTCAAAAATGACTTGATTTTGGGAGACTTGTATTCTCTTCCTTATGTGTTTTTTGTGAGAAGAGGAATCAAACCAGTAGTTGCATTCAGTGTCCAGCTCCATCATTCTGGAGCCAAAGTGCATTTTTCTATATTGTGTCATGGGAGGCTCACATTTCTCCTCTTCCCCGGGACAGCAGTATTTGCACCTTCCCTTTCAAACAAGCTACTTGCTCCACCTCCTCTCCTGGCCACCTGAGTGCCACAGGATCACCTGTACAAACCATTTCCCACCTCTCCCCCTGTTCCAGTGACACATAAATCAAAGACAGTATGGTACATACAATAGGAACATGATCCAAGTAACATGCAGAGTGGGGACACAAGTACCTGCCTGGTGCTAATACTCACATGGCCAGAAGGACAACAGTGAGCTAGAGCTTTAGCTCAATGATGCATCGGAATTGGGGAGAGAAGTTGGTTTAGCAGCATTGCCTCCGTTCCTGGAGACTGTGTCCCTATCCTTAGCTCTACGCATTGTGTGATCCCAGGTAAGTCAGTTCCCCTACCTGTTAAGTGAAGCTAATTATGCTGATATGCTTCAAGTTGAGATAGTGGGGAGAGAGGCCCCCTTTCCCTTCTGTCTCCAAACTAGCTGGGCAACAGCTCCAGCCCATCGTGCATGAGTTGCCACAAGCAAGCACAAAGTGAGATGCTCCCTTTCTTAGGTTGGTCCTTTCACTTGTAAGCCTGGAGATTACTGTTCTTTATAAATAATACATAAGCAGAGGCCCTTGTGCAGCTATATTCTGATACAGTGTGCAGTGAGGTGCTGAATCTCTGCCACAGTTGTAACTAAATATTCCAGGCCCCAGCAAATGCTGCAGAGGGTGAGCCAGAGCTCAGATGACATGCTGTCCTTTGCCAGGCAGCTGTATGCAGGAAAGAACTTTAATGGACTTTGATCCATTCAGGGGCTTCCAACACTGATGGCACCAGCCCTGAGGTGATGGGTATGGAGTTGGCTGTTTGCACTCCCACCTTGGGTTCAACTCCTGTCACAGAATGAGATTAACTCAGTAGCTCAAATCTCCTTGATGTCAAATTATCTACTAGGGTACCTGGAAGGCTCCTCTTGAAGGGAGAAAGCAGTCCCACCCCTGCCCTTCCAGACTTGTCTGCCCCAGGCCTGTGCATCTTCGTACTGGCTCTTCTCCAAAGCAAGGCATGCCCCCTAGTTGGTATTCACATCCTATATGTTGTGATATGGATCTGTAAAGCACAGCCTCACAACTCCTCTCCCCATATTGGTTTAGAGTGACCTGTCCTGTGGGCTTCTTCATTGCTAGGAAATGCTGAGTTTTACTAACAAGTGACCTAGAGGGCAGAATGCAAGGTGCTCCCAGTTACAAGCAAATGGAACAAACTTCCCTGCGCTCAGCCACCTCTATATTCCCAGTGCTTATACAGGAGGAAAAAAAATGCATGAGACTTGAGCCTATTAAGCAGAAGTAACCCTGAAAAGCCCTTTTGCTGCTGGCTGTACAAAGTCTGAGCAAGCAGGTACAGCATCCAGTGCAAACACTTTCAAGCTGTTTGCCACCTCCAGAGGCATGTACTGCTAGGACACTATTCAGCACCAGAGCAGGCATAGATGGATTACTGAGGTTTTTCACACAGAACACACATCTTAGCTGACAGCAACTGCAACCCTGAGATCAGGGCTGCAAGAAGTTTTCTGAAGAACAGGTTCAATATGACAGACAGTTTCAGTAAAAAAAAAAAAATAGAACTCTAGCTCCAAGGAAACATCACACAACAGCAAGCAGGTAAGCTGCACTGGAGACTTCCTGCGCCCAAGGACCCAGAAGCCCCAGAATGCCTCATGGGCTATGTGCAGAACCTTCAAGGATCACAGGAAGGCAGTGTTCCAGCATCATCCCTCAGGGCTTCATCCTTTTGTGGTAGAGGTAAGCATTGCTCACTTGATTCATGATAACCAGGCTGGTGAGGATGGGGCACAGTACTGCCAGGTACCAGAAGACCCCAGTCACCAAGGTGGTAAACCACAGGGAGCACATGCCCAGCATCAGGCTGGCACAGCCCAGGAGGTAGCAAACCAGCCCAGAGGTGGCGTGATAGAGCTTCAGCTTGGCCAGTGTCCAGTTTTTCATTAGCTTGGGGTACAGGAGGGCGAGGCCCCCCATACACTGCATGCTGGCATACAGCACAGTCAGCAAGCCAGTCAAACCATGCCAGGTGACAAAGTGGGACTTGCCATTCAGGTACTTGTTGTAGCTGATGATGCCTAGGCCCAGCAAGGCACAGAGGAGACAGAGCAGCTGAAGCGCCCAATGGAAGCGGACCTTGACTTTGCGGGAGAAGGAGCGCAGCAGTGAGGTCTCTGGAGAGAAAACCAGCAGGGCTTCTGTCATCAAGAAGGAGAACTGGGGAAACAAGAACAATGGTTTAACACAGCTGTTGAAATGCAATGGGCAAAGTAATGCTGGCACCTGCAACCTCTTCCTTATCATCTCCATGGAAACCAGAAGACTGAGGCCCCAAGGTGCTTTGGTGATGGAGGCTGTGCAGATGCCTAAGACAAACAACTACAATGTGGAGGAGTCGCAAGTTCAGTAATGGGGCTCTGCAATGGGGATCTTCCGGCAACCTGGAATGTAGCCCATTGCTCCCTGCTACTCTCCCAACTCATTTGGGCTAGGGCAGTGGCACGCAACGTTCCAGCCCCATGGGCCAGATGAATGATACGGGGTTGGACCATGGTTGTGACCCTGTGCATCCAAATCCAGCCTGGTGCCAACCCAACCCCACATGCAGGGCCATGTTATTTATCCCACAGGGCTCCCCACCAGGTCCAGAAATAAGTAGCAGGGGAACAGCAATTAATGCTGCCATGGCTCCTTCACTGCCAAATTTCCAGACCAATGAGGAGCCCTGTGGGCCAGATGACTCAGCTCTGCAAGCCAGAGGTTGAGCACCACTGGGCTAGGATGCTGCCACCACACTTTCATTGTGGGGGTGGCAACAGAAGGGCTGGGCCAAGGAAGAGTGTGTGTGCTGGAAAATGCATCCTTGGGTGTGTCCTAATGAACACGCATGTGCAGGGGCATGCGTTTTCCATGGGACATAGCAGTGGCACGTATTTGTGCTGCTGCTAATTGATCCTGGGCGTGTGCACTTCAGCATGCAGCAAAGTGACCTGGGTGGGGTAGGGGAGGCTAGGACCAGCACTTGTGCTGGCCTCAGCAGTCTTATCTGGGGTCCTGGGGGCCACCTAGGGAAGCAGCGGTACCAAGCCAGCCACTCAGAGCCTGGCTGGCCGCCTGAATGTGACCCTGGCTGACCAGGTGACCTTTCTGATGATGCATGCTGCTGCTGCTGCTGCATGTACCATACCACTTTTTTCAGCAGCATTTTTTTTTTACGCCAGGATCTCCTGGTGTCAAAAAAACTGCTGCGCTGCTAATTAGCAGTGTGGGAAACAAGTGCATGTGCACTGCATGTGGTTTGTGGTGCCTCAAACTGCTTTAAGGTGCTGCAAACTACATGTGTGTGCTCATCAGGACATGCCCTTGTTGCCAAGTTAGTTCTCTGCTTACTCCCAACAGTGACAAGTACTCACTATGCTGGGAACACCAGAACTGCATTGTAGAACTGGTTTGCAGCCATTCAGTAAACATGCCTAGCCAGGTGTCTGGCTTAGCCAAGCATGCCCTGAGCAAAAGCACTTCATAAATGTTTTCAATAGCCTGGTACTACTGCTGAAACAAGCATGAGTGCCTGACTAACAACCTTTCAGGCTGGTTATGACCTGGAGAGGTGCTTTGTCTGTGGGGCTCAAGCAAGGGTAAAGAGCGGGTGTTATGGGATTCGAGGCCCCACCACCCTATTCACCACTGCACACCATGCAGTCACACAAAGTTGTGCGAACTGGCTGTAAAACACACTCCTGTTCTGATTCATCAGCAAGTTACACCCACTGTGTCTTAGAGTTGTAAGTGACGCAGGGCAATGGTGAACTGAGCAGGTTGTGGGACACAGGCAGTGGGACTATCATGCTCAACTGATATGCAGGGTATAGGGTGGAAGGCAGGAATACAGAGATCTTGTCTGACTTACCGCAAGTGACATTAAGAGAGGGTGCCAGGAGAATAAGCCTGGAATGAAATGAGAGAGACCAATGAGCCCTTTCAGACCAGCCATCCAGCACAGTGAAATGCTAATGTACAGTTGAAAAAAAACCAAAAACCAAGCAAAAAAAAAAAAAAAAGAAGCTTCCTTCTAATGGGATGGATTAGGCACTTCAGAGAATGGAAAGGCATCAACACAAGGAATCCCTGAAGTTCAGGAGAGGGAGGAAGATCCAAGAGTTTAGGCACTAGCCTGGGACTGGGAAGCTGCAGGGCCAACTCCCTGCTCCATCACAGACTGCTTGTTTGAGCTTGGGCACATCACTTTCCTTTGGGTCCCCAAATCTTCCTGTGCCAGAAGATGCCACTTAGAGCACAAAAAAGGTAACATCCTCCCCTCCCACTGAGAGCTGTGCTGTGTGTGTCCCTTCTGGTAAATCCTAGAAGTCTTCCCTTGAGTGCTGTTCACTGGAGAAAATCTGTCAGCCCGTTTTGCTACTTCCCCAGCTGCACAATGGCAGATGCTCCAGCTTCAGTCTTAATATCAAGTCAAGTCTGTCCCAAGGCTGCTGCAACTGTGGGGCACTTCAGATGCTGTAACAACCCCCCAGGCTGGTTGAGTTGCTTTGCATCATTGGTGATTCTTTGGGTAGAGCAACCTGGCAGCGCCCATCTCCTCCCCAGGAATGGATGGCTGTTGGCTTGCAGGAAGCTCATCCACCCTTTGACAGGTCTTGTTTTTTAAGTCCTGGGGGATGCCCACACACCCTCCTCACCCAGGCTAGCTCAGGTGGGGGCACCAGCTTAGCTGGCAACAACTTGACTCTGGAACAGGCTGTACTGGTTTACATGGTACTAGATAGCGGACCAAGAGAGGCCTGGCCTGAAAAGGCCATCTTAACATGCCCCTTATGATTTTGCCTCCTTCCTGGATAATGAGACACACAAAACTAGGCACTCTAGGTTTCAAAGCTGACAGCGTGCCCTTAAAGATGTGCAGTTAAACCACACCTGTGAGCAGGAGCTGGAGCTGAAGCTTCACAGCTGAAGACTAGAAAAACTTGCAGTTAATGGATGGATTGGGCCAGCCTCAGCCATCGCTGGGACTGGCGCCCTGGTCTCGTCCTACTCTCTCCGTGGTGTGAGGACACCAGTCCTGGAGCTGCAGTAACTAGTCACAAGAGGCCCGACG